AATTGTGTGGTCATGCAACACTGCACCTAAATGAAATTTATGTCCTTTTCCCCCACAAATAGAGCTTTCTTTTGGTGGTATTTGATCACCTGTGCGTTTTTATTTTTTTCTCTATAAACAAAAAAAAAACAGAAAATTTTGAAAAAATAAATATTTTTTGACTTTTTGGTGTGAAGCATATTCACCCAAAAAAATGTAAAAGCAAATTTTGTCATGAATTTGGGCCACAATGTATTCTGCTACATGCTTTGCTAAAAAAAATCCCAATACGTGTAAATTAAATGGTTTATGTGAACGTTATAGTGTTTACAAATGGCAGTATATTTACTGGGATTTTTTTTTCTTTTATACTAGTAATGGTGGTGATCAGCGACTTATTGTGGGACTGCAGCAAGCATCCTGACACTGGGGGGGAACTGACTAACTGCCACTGACATCCCCAGTGACACTACTATACAGTGATCAGTGCTGATAAAAAGCACTGACACTGTACTAATGACACTGGGCAGGAAAGGGTTAACATCTGGGGCAATCAAAGGGTTAACTCTGTGCTGTGTGCTGTTTTACTGTGTTGTCTGTGTGTGCTTTACTCTGTAAGCTCCCTGCTTTGTATTGCTCTGCTATGCAGAGCAATAAAAAAGCAGCAAGCTGAAGCTGACGGGAGAGATCTGTATTGTTTACATACAGACCTCTCCTCTGTCACTGTTACTCTGTGATTGCCGGGTGTCGGCAGGGAATCTCCAGCCGGGACACAGTGATTGACAGCTGTAGCTGCCAATAGCGGCGCGCGTGCGCCTCCTACCCAAAAATACAAAATCACATATATAGACGTTATTTTGTGCAGCCCTTCTATCCTGTAGCAGTAGCAGAAGCGGTTAAGCAGCAAGTGAACATGTTGTCTCTGCAGTTGTCTTGAAAGCAGAAAAAATGAACAAGTGTAAGGATTTGGGCAACTTTAACAAGGGCCAAATTATAATGGCTAGACAACTGGGTCAGAGCATCACTAGAGCTGCAGCTCTTGTGGGATGCTCCTGGTCTAAGTGTAATTGTGACCTGGAGAGCAAAATTTTAATAGCTAGATGACTGAGTCAGAGCAACTCCCAAATTTGCAGCTTTTGTAGGATGTTCCAGTTGGTCAAGACCTACCAATAGTGGTCAATGGAAGGAAAAATGAGAAAACTGGCAACAGAGTTATGGGCAGCCAAGGCTCGCTGTTGCATTTGGGAAGTGAAGGCTGGTCCATGTAGTCCAATCCGATGGAAAAGCAATTGTAGTTCAAGTTGCCCAAAAAGCTAATGTGGGTTCTGATAGAAAGATGTCAGAGCACACTGACCGCAGTCAAAACCACCAATAAAGGCATCAGAACTGGACCGTGGAGCAATAGTAAAAGGTAGCCTGGTCTGATGATTGGTTCACTTTTTCTTTTACAGCATGCGGACAGCCTGGTGCGTGTGTGTCGCTTGCCTGGGGAAAAGATGACAGCAAGATGCAGTATGGGAAGAAGGTGAGCAGGAGGAGGCAGTGACCTGCTACTGACAGCTTGGTGCCAGATACTACAGCATATCTGGAGTCTTTGTCTCAATGTCAATATTAATCACACAGGTTCTGGGGCGAATTGAATGCAGATAAGGCACCAGGTGAATTTAATGACTACCTTAATCAGCCACAGAACCTGTGCAATTAATATGTGTTCAGTTTTAAAGGGATGAGGTGGCAACCCTAGGTGCAGTGCACAGGCCCAGTGCAGGATCTCTGTATTCGGTAGAGTGATTTACTTATGTGTCCCATAGGCAACTTGTACTGGGTTGCCGTTATGATGATTGTTTCTTCCGTCATCACAGTCCTGTACCCCTGGTATGGTTTACACATAATTAATTCACTTCAGTTCTGGAAGATTTTACCCCCATGACCACACCATTTTTTGCTATACCGCACTGTGCTATTTTAACTGGTAGTTGTGCGGTCATGCAAGACTGTACCAAAACAAAAATTGTATAATTTATTTCACATGAATAGAGCTTTCTGTTGGTGATATTTGATCACCCACTGCTGGGTTTCTTTTTTTTTTTGCGATATGAACGAAAAAAGACCGAACCTTTTGAAAAAAAATTTTTTTACTTTCTTCTGTAAAACATATCCAATACAAACATTAAAAAAATCAGGTTTCTTCATAAATTTTGGGCAAAATCTACATGTCTTTGATAGAAGAAATTCCCAATAAGTGTATATCGATTAAACTATTGGATATATACTGGAATTTTTTTTTAATACTAGTAATGGCGGCGGATTTTTAATGGAACTGTGATAGTGCGGCAGGCAATCTAACACTAACTGACACTGATTAACTGCAACTGACATCATCAGTGACATTAATACAGTGATCAGTGATAATACTATACACTGTCACTGCACTAATGACACTGGCTGAGAAAGGGTTCAAATCTAGGGCAATCAGGTGTTAAATGTGTGCCTAACTATTGGTAATCTGTGCTGTTTTAACTAATAGATCTATCAATTTCTCATCCCATGAGAAAACTGAATGTGTGCGCACGAAACCTGAAAGTAGGCAGCGACAAACCCATAAGTCACTTTGCGTACAGCAGCCATGCACCTGCAGTACGTGGTGGACAGGCGGTCATGAAAAGGTTAAAGATCAATACCTTCTTTGAGATTTTTGAAGTCCGCATCCTTTCCAGCCAGTGTATAAGCTAAGACAAGCCTTTCTTATTTTCTAATAATGAGTTTGACTGAGGTCGGCCCACTCAAAGCATCTCACAACATCAAATAATTTTCATAGCAAGGTAGGCCAGCAGTAAGTTGAGTATATGGTAAATAAATAAGCATGGTGTACAAGAAAAGCCAACTATCTTCATATTTTGCAGCTTGTATGTTAGCCCAATAATGGCGATATTTCTGCCATAGCAGCTCATATGGTCATTGATCCAACCAGTTAACGATCTCCTAACCATAAATATTGGCTGTGCTCCATAAACGTAAGACATTCAGTACCAGCTGTGCTGGGTGTACTGGTGATGCTGCCCGCCATTGATTTCTTTTCTATATGATCATCTGATTTCTATTTGAGCTTCCTTGAAACTCTGCTTTGAGTGTGGCTTTAGTTCTTTTACCATAAAAATATGCATTTGGGTATAATTTTTCTTCTATCAGTCTGTGTTCCCTACTAGAAATTCCAATAGTAGATAAGAAAATAAAAAAACACTGCTTTATTTTGTAGAGCATATAATGTGAAGACACAGCTAATAGAAGTGGGTAACTGTTATGTTTGGACCACCTGACTCCTTGGGCCCCAAAGCAATTGCACCATCTGCACACTCCACACTTGTATGTAGGTCCAAAATGTTCAGGTGCACTGATATGACATCTGGGTTTTTATATGTGCTTATAACACCATAACATCCAATTTCACATCAAAATTCTCTGATGTGACTGTAAATATATTCATCTCCTGGAATTACGCAGTGACTAGTGTTACACGAGGAGCAAACATGAGATTCTGGCGCTTATATAAGACACGAAGCACACAAACAGGCTATCGCACTGCCTTTGGCGCTTTGAGCCACCCATGTTCCACTACTTCAGCTGCTGCCAGTATCTAGGTCAATGAGAAGAAAAAAGCTCTTCCGTTTTTTCTGTCTTGTACTGATAGTATTCAGGATCCTTCTTGTTTCTAACAAGGAGAGACAGCCTGACATTATTTAGACAACACCATGAGCTCCTGACAATCATAACCTAACAAGCTCTTCTCTGACATCCATGGACCTGTGTTGCTCTTGGCCACTAAGCTCAAAACCCAATTTGTGTTACATAAATAGCAGTACCGTGACACTAATCTGTATCACACGGTATTAAAAATGTGCTTTAATTAAAGAAGAAATGTATTTTTACTTCGGCATTTCACAGGTACAAGTTAGAGTTTTCAGTTTGTGACCCATAGCAGAGTCCTGCCATCTTGACTATACGTCTTTAGGCTGTGTGAAGCACTTGTGCAGGCTCTAGTGTAGTTGGAGTGGCCATTCGTGGCTTTTAAAAAAAAGGGCAAGACAACTCTTTCATATATTTTGTATATTTATTTACTTCTTATTTAAATATCTCTTGCTGAAAAAATAAAACTTTTTTAAATGTCTCCAGTAATCCTGCAAAGTTCCATCTTTACTCCACTGTAAGTCTATGGGTCAAAACAGGCTTGTTGACAACAATAAACCCTCTAGAAGACTTTTCTTGCCATTGTTTGTTATTTCAGGAGAGTTGTTTACCAAAGATGTTCTTATTTCCCTGTGACGTGTCATGTACCTGATACTTATAGCGTCCTGAAAAATATTCATACCTCTTGAAATTTTCCACATTTTGTCATGCTACAACCAAAAACATAATTGCATTTTATTGGGATTTTATGTGATAAACCAACACAAAGTGACACATAATTGTGAAGTGGAAGGAAAATGATAAATGGTTTTCACATTTTTTTGACAAATACATTTCTAAAAAGTGTGGCATGTACTTGTATTCAGCCCCCATTACTCTGATACCCCTAACTAAAATCTAGTGGAACCAATTGCCTTCAGAAGTCATCTAATCAGTAAATAGAGTCCGCTTGTGAGGTTATAAAAAAATATCCCAGGCTTTGAACACCTCATGCAACACTGCTCAATCCATCATCCGAAAATGGAAAGAGTATGGCACAACTGCAAACCTTCCAAGACATCCACCTAAACTGACAGGCCAGGCAAGGAGAGCAATGTGCTCCCTGTGCCTGTGTGGGTTTCCTCGGGGTACTCCGGTTTCCTCATACACTCCAAGTATGTGTATGTATGAATGTAAGATAGGGACCTTAGATTATAAGTTTCTTGAGGGCAGGGACTGATATGAATGGGCAATATACACTATATTGCCAAATGTATTGGGACACTCCTCCAAATCATTGGATTCAGGTGTTCCAATCACGTCCATGGCCACAGGTGTATACAATCAAGCACCTAGTCATGCAGACTGCTTCTACAGACATTTGTGAAAGAATGGGTCGCTCTTAGGAACTAAATGAATTCAAGCGTGGTACCGTGATAGGTTGTCACCTGTGCAATAAGTCCATCTGTGACATTTCCTTGCCACTAAATATTCCACGGTCAACTGTTAGTGGTATTATAACAAAGTGGAAGCAAGTGGGAGCAACAGTAACTCAGTCATGAAGTGGTAGGCCACGTAAAATGACAGAGCGGGGTCAGCGCATGCTGAAGCACATAGTACGCAGAAGTCACCAACTGTCTGCAGAGTTAATAACTAAAGACCTCCAAACTTTGTGTGGCCTTCGATTTAGCCCAATAGTGCATAGAGAGCTTCATGGAATGGGTTTCCATGGCCGAGCAGCTGCATCCAAGCCTTACATCAAAAAGTGCAATGCAAAGTGTCGGATGCAGTGGTGTAAAACATGCTGCCACTGGACTCTAGAGCAGTGGAGACGTGTTCTCTGGAGTGATGAATCACACTTCTCTGTCTGGCAATCTGATGGATGTGTCTTGGATTGACGGTTGCCAGGAGACCGGTATTTGCCTGACTGTATTGTACCAAGTGTAAAGTTTGGTGGAGGGGGGATTATGGTGTGGGGTTGTTTTTTTTACGGGTTGCACTTGGCCCCTTAGTTCCAGTGAAGGGAACTCTTAAGGCATCCAAGACATTTTCGACAATTTCATGCTCCTAACTTTGTAGGAACAGTTTGGTGATGGCCCCTTCCTGTTCCCACGTGACTGCGCACCAGTGCACAAAGCATGGTCCATAAAGACATGGATGAGTGAGTTTGGGGTGAAGGAACTTGACTGGCCTGCACAGAGACCTGACCTCAACCTGATAGAACACCTTTGGGATGAATTAGAGAGGAGACTGCCGAGCCAGGCCTTCTCGTCCGACATCAGTGCCTGACCTCACAAATAGAAAAATGGTCAAACATTCCCATAGACACACTCCTAAACCTTGTGGACAGCCTTCCCAGAAGAGTTGAAGTTGTTATAGCTGCAAAGGGTGGGCTAGCTCAATATTGAACCCTACGGACTAAGACTGGGATGCCATTACAGTTCATGTGCGTGTAAAGGCAGGCGTCCCAATACTTTTGATAATATGTGTAAAGTGCTGCAAAAATTAATGGCACTAAATAAGTACCTGTAATAATAGATACATCCTGACTAAAAGTAGTAATACAATCCTATGTGTTAGTCCTTTGAAATAAATTATTCCGTCTTCAAGATTTAGATTTTGAGACAGCAATGACTTTCCACTCTACAACAATAGCCTTTTCATAGTTTGCCCTCTGCGACCCCTGACCTTTGAATGTCACAGACAACACATAATCAGAGAGGTCAGCATGGCTTGTGATGTCACAGAAATATTTCAGGTCTTCTTTTGTGACATGGAACAATCAGTGCTTGCTCTGTGCTATTACCAGCAGAGACAGACATGGCTGTAAAATGATAAAGAGAAATCAGCAGGTCTATGTCCATGGTGACCTCTATGATAACCGGTTCAATTTATTGCTTAATTAAACCAGTATTAGGTGCTTGAGGGCAGTTTAAATCTTCCTTGGCAGCAGTTATCTAGCACTCAAAGTTGGTGGATTCCTACACACAGATCAACCTTTTTTCTTTGACAAAGAGCAGCGCAGGGAAAACCAAGCCTGCAATTTACTATTCACAGCATTTACAATGGGACTTTTGTGCACTTACATTTAAAGGCCATGCTATGTGTTTTCTAAATTTTCTTTCTTTATTAGGTTTAGAACGCACAATACAAAAAATCTATTTACTTTTTATAGTCAGAGAAATATTAAATATTGCATATGAATAGCTCATACATTCACAGCTAGGGTATGGATTCTAAGCTCACTTTCACATTTACCTGCCCCTTTGTAGCTGCTCTGCTAAAAAAAATAAATAAAACGTATTTATGGAGCACAATATCTCAAGCTTATGGCTGAAGGACATATGAATGCTCCCTGTATTATTATTTTTTTTTTCTAAAATAAAAATTGTATATACTGCACATAGGACAAACATACAAAACATAATTAAAAATGTATGTATTAAAAAAATTACAGGATGGACTGAAAACCATTATAATCTCTATTTTTCTCTTTAAAGAGGAACTCCACTTTTGTTGAGAAAAAACACTCCCGTTGGGTGATCAATGCACATTGCAGGGATTTCAACAAACTTTGTTGCGGGTTGCTACCTGAAGGTATAGCTGTTTGTTCTTCTATGTCTTTTGGATACTGATTTTCTGTGGGAATTACCTTTTTTGTTATTGATCAGCTGATGCACTTGCAGGGCTTCAGTGAGGAAACTAGCAGGGCCTGCATAGCTTTAGAAGTGCTTAACCCTTTAGTAGCAGCTAACCAAAAATGAAATTTTTGTTGTAGAAGATGCCTAAAATCTGACTTCTGGGAAAATCAGGGAGCCAATCACACAAGCAGGAAATTACATTTCTGGGGGTGTTCCATATAACAGCTGTGTACAGAACGCCTCCGTGTTGCCCATATTACATTGAATGTTACAAAAAATTACAGTGCTTCAGATTGAAAAGAAAAGGTAATTTTATTTTTTTATTTTTTTTTGGGTTCAATACATTTTTGTTAAAATTTTAAACAATAATATAGGGAAAAAAGGATGTATATGAGGACATTTATACAATAGTAGCTATGAATAGAGATAAGATGCTTATCATGTTACCAACCATAAATCAATGTGCAGTATAATTGGTAATAAAGTCTTCAAAGTGAATATCAACAGTGGAATTATACATTTTATAGTACTGTTTTAGTATAGATGAATGTGTAATTGTTGATGTGAGATAAATTAAGGAGATGGAAAAGAAAAGAGAAGAATGGAAAAGTAGGAAAGAGAGAGAATATAAATGGGGAAGGATCTAGGGAGGCAAATCATGAGACATGAGGAATGAGCATGTGGATGCTAATATAAGTACTTTTTTTGTTTTATATGCGTAACAAGGACCTATCAAAATCTGTTGGAAGATAGGATTCTATCCAAGGAGACCAGATTTTCTCAAATGTATGAGATTTATCGTGAAGGATGGCAGCAAGTTTTTCATTGGACATAAACCACATCATCCATTTCTTTAATTTGGGTGGAAGTCGGTATAGAGGACTGCTCTTTTTTTCTCTTTAAGTTACCCTTTAACCACTTCAATACCTGGTATTTTTACCCCCTTCCTGCCCAGGCCAGCTTTCAGCACTGTCACACTTTGAATGACAATTGTGCGGTCATGGAACACTGTACACAAATGACATTTTTATCATTTTGTTCACACAAATAGAGCTTTTGTTTGGTGGTATTTAATCACTTGGGGGTTTTATTTTTTGCTACATAAATGAAAAAAGACCTAACATTTTGAAAAACAAAACCCATCTTTTTTTTTTAACCACTTGCCTACCAGGCACTTATACCCCCTTATTTACCAGGCCAATTTTCAGCTTTCAGCGCTGCCACACTTTGATTGACAATTGCGCGGTCATGCAACATTGTACCCATATGAAATTTTGATAATTTTTTTCTCACAAATAGAGCTTTCTTTTGGTGGTATTTAATCGCCACTGGGCGCTTTACTTTTTGCGCTATAAATAAAAAAAAGTGCAAAAAATTTGAAAAAAAAAAAAAAAAAAAGTTTGTTTCTATTATAAAATTTTTCAAACAGGTATTTTTTTCTCCTTCACTGATGTACGTTGATGAGGCAGCACTGATGGGCACTGATAGGCGGCACTGATAGGCAGCACTAAAGGGCACTGATAGGCAGTACTAATGAGGTGGCACGGATAGGCGGCACTGATAGACAGCACTGATAGGCGGCACTGATAAGTGACACTGATGATGGGTACTGATAGATGGCACTGACTGGCATCACTGCTGGGCACTGACTGGCACAACCCCTGGGCACTGACTGGCGGCACTGACTGGCAGCACTGCTGGGCTGCACTGGTGGGTGGCACTGGTGGGCAGCACTGGTGGGTGGCACTGGTGGGCACAGGTGGGTGGGCACAGGTGGGTGGCACTGCTGGGCACAGGTAGGTGGCACTTCTGGGCACAGGTGTGTGACACTGCAGAGTGGCACAGGTGGGTGCACTGCTGGGCACAGGTGGGTGATCTGCTGGGCACAGGTGGGCGGAGCTAGTGGGCGCACTGCTGGGCACAGGTGGGCGGAACTTGCGGGTGGCACTGCTGGGCACCGATCATCAGGGCACTGATCATCAGTGCCCTGATGATCGGTGCCGATCCCCGCTCTGACAACTGCCAGTTCTCGGCAGTACTTTCCTCACGATCTGACAGCGTGAGGAAAGTGCAGCCGAGAACCGGCACTTGCATTTCCCTCTGATCAGCGTGTCATTGGACACCGCTGATCACGTGGTAAAAGGCCGCTGGGATCAGCCTTTTACCACATCACGTGATCAGCTGTGTCCGTAGGACACAGCGATCACGGAGATCGCCGGGTGCGCGCCCCCTGGGGCGCGCAGCAGAGCGCGTTCTGGGAGGCCGTCATATGACGTCCACTCAGAACTGGCCGGCCGCAGTGCAGCCGTCATTCGGCTATCTGCGATCGGCAACTAGTTAATTTTGCAAATAAGTAATCTTTCTTCATAAAGTACGACCAAAATGTATCCTGCTACTTTTTTTGGTAAAAATAACCCAAATCAGTGTATATTATTAAGTTTGTGTGAAAGTTATAGAGTCCACAAACTATGCTATATATATCTGAAAATCGATCAATCCCGATGTACTGCTAGTCTATATCATTTCTTGAGGCCCAAAAATGCCAGGACAGGACAAATATAACCCAAATGACCCATTTTTGGAAAGTAGACAGTTCAAGGTATTTATTAGGAGGCATGCTGAGTTTTTCAAGTTTTTTGTCACAATTATTTGGAAAATGAAGTCATAACAAACATTTTTTTTAAATTTTTCAAATTTTTTTTACATACTGTCAGTATGTAAACAACTGTGCAGTTCAGAGTCATCATATAACTG